TTCAAAAAATCCAAACACACGTCAATTTTTCTTGTGAGGGGGACAACTTTTGCCCCAAAAATTATTGCAAAATCATCAACCCTCGAAGCAGGGGTGTCATCCCCCAACTTTTTTTAAATGGGAAGGGGGGTCAAGTGGCGCCGCAATGAAAAGAGCTTTCTATTCTCTATATTTCCCCGCCTCGTTTTTTGTTTGAAAAGTTTATTTAAACATTTATCAGAGTAAATGATAAGGATAAATTCCTTCGACTAATTTGAGGTTTTTTCTTATTATTTCTAGATGTTTACGCATTTTTTCACTTGCGACAAGGTTGAACCATCAGGTGCGGTAGTTGCTAGATAGCTGCTCTGTGACTTGTGCGTTGAAGTTCTTCTCAATATCGTTAAACCGACCTACAATAGAATTCCCAAAAATACCAGCCCACACGTTAAATTTTTGAAGGTTTTGTGTGTGCACCTCGTGAAAAACCCTGGGGTTGTCCTCAGCCGAGTATCGACAGTTGTGCTGATTAACTACACCGTTCAAAAAGAAAATACACTCATCTGAAATACACACATTAAATAGGAAATTATTATCATTCGCCACTCGTTCACTCATAGTTTCACAAAATTGCAAGCGACGATCAAAATCGTCTTCGTTGTGTTCTTGTACAAACTGAATTTTGTACGGGTGGAACTTCTGCTTTTTTAATATCCTTTGGACATCTGTACGATTCCCGCCGGTCTCATTGGCTAATTTTCTTGTACTCAGCGTACTATCCATGGCAAGTTGCAATACGAATACCTCCGTAGCTTCATTTACTACAGGATTTTCCCTCTGCCTCTTTTTATTCATAACGGAATCAGTTTCGCGAAATTTTGCTACTAACTCGCGAACAATTTTGCCATAAAGGTGTTATAATTGCGTTACAATTGTTACTATCTGCGCAACCCGATTGCCACATTCATTATTTTTAAAATAAAGTTCGATTATTTTCACTGTTTCTGCAAGTGAGTACACCATAATTATTAAAAAGTTTAACGATATTGAGAAGAACTTCAACGCATAAGTCACTGAACAGCTATCTAGCAACTACTGCACCTGATCGTTCAACCTTGTGGCAAGTGAAAAAATGCGTAAACATCTAGAAATAATAAGAAAAAACCTCAAATTGGTCGAAGGAATTTATCCTTATCATTTACTCTGATAAATGTTTAAATAAACTTTTCAAATTTCAATCTTTCATATCTTCTCAATGGCTCTACCGATTTTCAAAAACGAAGCCGGAAAGTATAGAGAATAGAAAGCCCTTTTCATTGCGGTACCACTTGACACCCCTTCCCATTTGAAAAAATTGGGGGATGACACCCCCGCTTAGAGGGTTGAAGATTTTGCAATCATTTTTGGGGCAAATGTTGTCCCCCTCATAAACAAAATTGACGTGCTTTTGAATTTTTCCGAAAAAAAATTACCCTGGCCGTTATGCCTAGCAGACTTCCCCTAGGAGATGCAAGACCTTGTCGTTGGTGGCGAAGCTCCTGGTCAGGTGCTGGTGGGAATCCCCTCTAGCACTTGGCTTGGTCTAAGAAGCATCTCACTCATCGTCTTGTTCCTGACTGTAGTGTCGTGGCCAGGGAATTGCACCAAGACATATAACGATACCGGGCGGGGCTACGGACAGTCTCAACCTTGGGGCACCGGGGGCACCCCATTGTATTTTACCCCTTACTTCTACATGCGGGGCTCTGTAGAAGTGGACCGACTGTCCCTAGCGACTCATAGGAACACTACGAGATCTGATAATAATAGTAATAAAAACATCACCGGTGAAGCTGTGGGGAAACCCCCTAGCGACACTGGGAACAGTAACAATGAAAGTTCCAAGCGGCCAAACCCAAAGAGAACTACAGGAGAGGTGGCTGACACTTGCGTGAGACCATCCTCCGCAAGTGGCATACAAGCTACCACCTCCTCCAAGGGTCGGGAGCCTACCTCCTACCTCTAAACCCAACAGGCGACACAAGCTACCGTTTCGTCTACCCAGCCTGGGTCGTAGCTCCTCGACTGTGAGGGACACGGGTCTCCGTAGGAAGTCCTGGGACTGTATGATGAGTTATAACTCAAGAAAGGGTGACACAACAGATCTCTAAGGTCGCAGAGATTAACACCCCTCCCACTTATTCTAATTCTTCTATTCTAATGCCTAGCCGAACGTTTTCGATGGGCCACCCTGTATATGACATTAGTTCTCAAGTTATCATTTATAGATGTATAAATGGGAGACTATATCAAGTCTGGAAATTACAAAATTTTCGTTGAACATTTCAATTCTTCCAATTTATGTACATTGTGTATTACGATTATTGCTTAAAATTGAAGAAAGAATTGAAATATGCAATAATATACAGAGGGTTTTATTTAAAAAAAAGTTTGATGTGACACGACTTTATGACCGATTATATTATTAGCTGTCGACATTGACGACGTCACTTAGGGAGTTGACGCGCCGAGACGACAACCCTTCGTACCATATACTTTGGTACGGCTGATGTCAGAAATGGTGAACTGGCCTCTGTGTCTCAGATACTGGCTTTTGTTAAAGTCCTAAGACTATATGATAAGATATAACTGTTACAACTCAAAAAAGGAGGACACACAATAAACCCTGCAATGTCGCGGTTATCAACCCCCCCCCCTCCTAAACATTCTACAACATTTCAATGAGTTGATAGTTGGCACGTCAACAATTCAATTGTCTGATCACAAGTTTGTATTCTTTCTTCGATTAGGTCTTACATTCGGTTAAGTCAAGATATTCAATTACTTCTTAACAAAAATTAATTTTTGTCATCAATTTCAACGATTTCGTAATTTTTAGATATACCGGGTGCGTCTCAAAAGTGGCTCACTTCTATAACTTTTTTACTTTTTCACATAAAAAACGAGATTTGGTATGTTAGTATATGACATAAATTAGGATTGATTGACGTATTCAATTGTTTTTGGTCACTTCCTGTTTCACCGGAAATTACTACAACTTTTGATTTTTAAATGGCAACCTCAGTATTTTTTTACTTTACTCGATGGAAAACGACACTCTGAATAGAATGACATATCATATGTCAACTTTTGACATTTTCTCATATGGTTTATTCAAAATATCAAGTGTGTGGTACCAAATTATTCGTAAAAAATGCTTTTTCCAAATATGCTAAAGAGCCACCCTCGTTCTATTTGAAAAAATTGAGATATGATTAAAAATACGATGTGGGCATCTTTTAACCGACCAGGACAAGACACGAAAAACATTAGACGATCAAATCTATTTTCCAAAGCTTCTTGAATGAAAATTAGTGTTTTTAGCACAACCATGGCATGCTAGATTGAATTATAAAATTCTTTAAAGCGAAAATCTCAAAAATTTCAAATCAAACGTTGACATATGATATGTCATTCTATTCAGAGTGACATTTTCTATCGAATAAAGAAAAAACATTTTGAGGGTATCAAAAAAAAAGTTGTAGTCATTTCCGGTGAAACAGGAGGTGACCAAAAACAATTGAATACATCAATCAATCCTAAATTATGTTATACAGTGTGTCAATTTTAAAACTTCCCACCCTTAATATCTTTCTTGCAGTTAATAATATGACAAATCGGAAAGACACGTCAATTTTATTTGTAAGGGGGACCCTTTAAATTAATATTTTTAGCCTTTTTCTTTTAACGCCCTAGGAGGGGTAGATGTTACCCTTACAATTTTAAATGGGAATGGGGGTCAAGTGGCACATCGTTTTAAAGGACGTTTAATTCTCTTTTCAGTGGTATCCTACTTTGTTGCTTTTTGTCAAGAGGTTTCCGAATAATCGCGTTTCAAACTTTCAGAAACAATTAAACATGCCTGCAATGAGATTATGATTTTCAAGCTAGTTTTTATAAAAAATATTGCAATGGATCTCCTTGTAGTACAAATAATGAGGAGATTAGGTGGAAACATGGATGTAGCAATTATATTTTTCTAGGGGGGTCGAAATACTAATAAACAAAAAACATCATAAACATTAACGTTTCTTTTCTTAAATTCGAATGAGTGGCAACCTCTAATCAGTTATACAGAAGGATTTGTTAACATTTCAGCAGGACGGTGGCTCCACCTCATTATTTTCTTCCGATCCGACAGTGGTTAAACGAGAGATTTCCAGGTACATAGATTGGCAGAAGGGGACCAATTGAATGGCTTCCATGATTACCGGATTTAACACCCTTAGATTTCTTTCTTTGGGGACATCTTAAATCCATTGTTTATAGAACACAGCCTACTGATATTGATGATCTTAAAAGGCGAATTACAGCAGAATGCCGGTCAATTCCCGGTGAAGTTTTCCGAAATGTTAGGGAGGAGTTTGAAAACACACTTTATTATTGTTAACAGGAAAATGGACAACATTCTGAACAACTTGTAAGATAGGGTGTAAGTGGTGTAATCTGATCTTCTAATATTTTGTACTATAAGGAGATCCATTGCAATAATTTTTGTGTAGAAACACTAGACTCAAAACCAAAATCTCAATGCAGGCATGTTTAATTGTTTCTGCAAATTTGAAACGTGATTATTGGGACACCACTCGATAAAAAGCAACAAAGTAGGATACCACTGAAAAGATAATTAAACGCCCTTTAAAACGATGTGCCACTTGACCCCCATTCCCATTTAAGATTGTAAGGGTGACATCTCCCCTTCCTAGGGGGCTAAAAAAAAGGCTAACAATATTAATTTAAAGTGTCCCCCTTACAAATAAAATTGACGTCTTTTCGATTTTTCATATTTTTAACTGCAAGAAAGATATTAAGGGTGGGAAGTTTTAAAATTGACACACTGCATACTAATATCCCAAATCTCATTTTTTATCTAAGAAAAAAAAGTTATAGGGGTGAACCACTTTTGAGACGCACCCGGTATTTATATTAATGTATTAATATTATCATTTTTTGATATTTACATTTATGTTTTTACTTTTCAGGTTGCGGCAACGGCAAATATTTGAAAGTAAATTCGTCAATTTATAATTTAGGAGGGGAGAAATCAATTAGACTGAGCGAATTAGCTAGACAAACAGAAAATGAGGTAAACACATAGTTTAATTATAATAATATTATGATCACAACATAACATCACTGTAAATTATTCTCAACTTAAAAGTTGGTTGACAAACAGAGAGACAAAATAAAGTGTGTAGGAAAATGTGGTAGAAAAAAATAAACTATTTTTTAAAACTTTCAATATATCTAAGTTAAATATAATCTATTACAGCTGTAGTAAAATGGAGTAACTAATGAGTGAAAAATAAAGTTCCAACCCTAGATGCAACATTTTTCGTAAACGCCTACTTGTGCGGTTTGAAGTTTTAATACACAGAAGAAATGTATCCTTCCAACTTTTATCTATTTTTAATACAGTTGATTTGTCATTAAACTGCCTACATTACTGTCTTACAGGTTAAAATCCAGACCACGCAGTTTCGATAACTAAATCGGTATATGCTACCATACAATCGAAAAAAAAAACGGCGTCAAAGACGGCTGGGAAACGACAATCGATGATATTCTTGGCGAAGTCAAGCCCTAGATCTCATTACTTGGCCCGTACTACATTTTATTTTTTAACGGCGCTTTCTGCCAGTTGGCTTTAAGGAGGTTGTAATTGATTTTTATATTGAGTAAAAATTGATTTTTAAATGGTGTAATTTAAAGTATAATTATATAGTAGAGAAAAAATAATTTTGTGGAAATAGATTTGTGTGTCTGGAAACGTGATATCCTTTTTTTAATCTTTCTATAATTATTAGTGTTAATTTTTGTGTTTTTTAGTTATTGTTGTTAGTGTAAAAGCTTCATTCTGAACCTCCCAATTAGTGGTTTCAATTACACTTTATACTTTTTAGTTTACGATCATTCACAATGTCTAAAAAACACAATTAAAATTAATAAAATATCCTAGCAACAGCTTGCGGTAGTCTATTGTATCCATAGAGAAAGCATAATATTTATCTTATAAAACAAAACACTTTTGATTTCGAACCAAAATTTTTCTTGACGAGTGATAATCAAAGGCCAAAATTACATTCCTCGCAAATTTTGAAATATAATTAGTGGAAAAGTCAAAAGTTTGTTAACTTTTTCCACTAATTCAAAATTACTACCACTAATTATGACGTTTTGAATGCTTACATTAAAATTAGGTGAACAAACTTTTACGGCTAATTGAAACTACTAATTTAGTCCACTGATTTCGAGGTTCTGAATGAAGCTTAAAGTTTTGATTTTGAAGTTTTATGTCAATTTTTAGTAGACGTCTAGAGACTGACTTCGCCAAAATTATCATCTATTGTTATTCCCCAGCCGTCTTTGACGCCGTTTTTTTTTCGATAGTATGATATTAGCTCGTATTATTCTATTACCTCTACGCATAGTATACACACATGGCCAAAATTATTGCATATAACGATATTTTTATTTTATTTTGGACCTAATATGATTTTTTTTATATTTTTCGACATATTGGCTTACTACACGACTAACTAATACAAAATTAAAAATCTAAGTGCAACTAGGCTGTTATTATAGTTTTATTTCATAATGAGTGAAAATCAACAAAAACAAATTTAATTTTAAACAGAAAATATTGAAAACAATTATAATTATTTCTCACAACTAATAGTCTGTATTGCCTCCTCGAGCCTCAATGCAAGCTGTGAGACGATGTGGCATGCTCTCAATTAAGTTGTCCAGAAGATGTTGACGAATGGCTTCCCATGTTTCGCGCGCAGCAATTTTCAATTCATTTAAGGTACGGGGGGGTCATTCTTTTTGGCAATATGGTGTTTAAGCATGTCCTAAGCATGCTCGATCACATTCATATCTGGAGACATCGGTGACACAGTTTTCTTATACCCTCTTCCTCACAAAATTTGCGAACGGCTTAAGTGCGATGGGGAGGAGCATTATCGTCCATGTAAACAAATTCATCCCCCACTGTTCCTCGAAATAGACGCACAATAGGGTCTAAAACGTCTCTCAGATATGAGGCACCTGTCATTGTGTCATCAATAACAACAAGAGGAGTTCGAGCTCCGTGCATTATACCTGCCCATACCATAATGCCTTCCCCTTGAAACGGGACACAGGGTTGAGCTGCATTCAAGCGTGCTCGTCTTCCAGACCAAGTTTGGTTTGGTTTGGCCAATGCGACAATGATTAGAATGGTCACTAACGGAATTAGTACTGGGAGAATTGTCAGATCAGGGGCTTGGAACACCCTCATAAAGGGAATACTACTCCTGCAACTCCCAGTGGACGATATGCCAAGAACGTACAACTTTGAGAAACATCTCAATGTAGTATTGAGCAATAAAAAGGATTGGAAGAGCGAAACGCTTGCCCAGCAGTTAAAAGACCATACCATAACGGTATACTGATGCTTCCAAAACCAATACGGGAACAGGGATCGGAGTGTTTGGGCCGAGAGCTAAATACTCCGAACCAATGGGTACTTACCCTAGTATTCTACAGGCAGAAATCTACGCTATCGAAAGATGCGTACAACTTATCTTAGATAGGAACTATCGGAAACAAGAAATAGCCATCTTGTCTGATAGTCAAGCAGCGTTAAAAGCGATCAACTCAGTATCAATCAATTCGAAATTGGTCAAAGAATGCATAGAGAAGCTGAATAAATTAGGCAAAGAAAACAAAGTCCTCCTACTCTGGGTGCCTGCTCACCAAGGGACAGAATGCAATGAAAAAGCAAATAATCTAGTTAGGAAAGGAGCGAACACTCCACTAACTGGACCAGAACCGTTCTGCTTTCCAAGTGGTAACCAACTCTAGGCGGAACTCAAGAACTTGGAAGATTCCATCCGCAACCTGGAATGGAAATCTTGCAACGGTCTAAGACACTCGAAGAAGTTTCTGAGGGCTTATGATCAAGAAAAATCACAGATCTTCCTGGGTTTAAGTAAGAACAATCTTCGGATTGTCACGGGGTTTTTAACAGGACACTGTCTCCTCAATAAACACCTCAGTAGATTGAAACTAAGAAGAAACGGCGAATGCAGGTTCTGTGGGGAAGATGGGGAAACACCAGTATACCTCATCACTGAGTGCGCCGAGACGACAACCATTCGTGCCATGAATTTTGGTACGATTGATATTGGAGATGGAGAACTGCCCTCTATAAAACCGTCCCAGATACTGGCTTTTGTCAAAGCCCTGGGACTTTATGATGAGTTATCAAGAAAGGGGGACACAATGGATCTGTAAGGTCGCAGTGATTAACCCCCCTCCCACTCATTCTAAATTCTAAAAAAAATATCCATTTTAACAAAAAAATGTTTATTACAGATTATCAAAGCTATGTATAAAAAAAGATTCTTTAAATTCCTTTCCGTATATTTTTTAACGATATATGCAATAATTTTGGCCATGTGTGGAGGTATTATAGTACTGGATAATCCTTATAAATTTTGTTTTTCTGTTTTACTATTTCAGATAATTAAATTAGATAATTTGGCCTTACCATTTCGGGACAATTCGTTGGACGCGGTGTTGTCTATATCGGTTGTACATCATTTGGCCACCACGGAGAGGCGCGTTTGTGCTCTTAGGGAGTTGGCTCGAGTTTTGCGAGTAGGAGGAAGACTGGTAATCACTGTATGGGCCATGGAACAAGCTCACAGGTAGGTAACAATATTTTTTTTTGGCGTAAGAACATACCAAATTAAAATATACAGTGTGTCAAAAAATAGTATCAAATCAACTTGGGTGGCTGATTCTACAGATAAAAACAAAACAAAAAGTTCCTATGGACATATTATGCCCTAAAATGGCTCCCAGAAGAAGTTACAGCCCTAAAAAGGGCAAATAAAAATAATACATTTTGTTTATTTTGACGAACATTGGCAAACCGTTTTTCTTGAAATTTGGTACAGTCGATAGTGTAAAATTGTGTAAATTTAGGGTACTTTCCATTTGGGTAGAGAGCACTACTGGTGGCTAGGCTACTGGCCTTTCAGGGTACTTTCCATAGTTCTTGTATTTTTAATAATTTTTTTAAGAAAGGCTGAAAATATAGAGGGTTGTTCACCACATACGACACGGAGTATTTTAGCTAAATGGTTTATAAATTGTAAGTTTTGGGTTCGTTGAAGGGCTATTAGAGCTACAATTTAAAAATAATTTTACAAGATACAGAGTGTCCCAAATAAGTAAAAAATATTATAGTTGTATTTTTTTAAACGGAACACCCTGTATATCATTCTATTTTTAGTTTCTACGACTACAATAAAGGTAAATTTGATTAAGGTTTATCACACTTAAACCTTACCGTTTTTGAACTATTTTCAATTTTGTGAATTTGCAGTAAAAATTTTAAGGCTTCGTTTCTCCAAGGTTATCAAAGTTTTTAATACTAAATATTTACTGAAGTTTATTTATTGATCAGTTATTGTGTTGCAATAATAAAAATAACACTACCTCATACAGAGTGTCTGAAATTTTATTCTTAAATAATTTCTAGCTTTAAACGGCAATAACTTGTTTAATTTAAATCAAACACCAGGAGAATCTGATGCACAAATTAATTGTCTATCAAACTGTATTATACCATTTTTTACCTATTTCTTCAAGTTTTCGTAGAAAATGCATTTTCGTATAATTTAGACCTCATTTATCAATATACCTATGGAATATTGACATTTTAGATTATTTTTAAAGATGTAACACATTTTTAAAAAGTACAGATACTAATATTGTCGATATAGTTCGTTTATTTCATTAAATAAAATCTGTTTAAATATTTGTTAAAGAGAATCAATTAATATGATTCCAGTATTCAAACTACATTAATTGACTGTTTGCGTTGATTAATAATAATTGCTCCAAATACTAAAAAACTGAATTTTGTATGTGTACTAGATAGTGTGATAACACATGGTGTGGTAGCACCTTAAAATTTTATTTCTTTTTTTGACGAATGCAGAGACGTTTTTTTTCATAACTTATTATTATATTGATTTCTGATTTAAATCTACATTTATTTAAAATAATTTATTAATTAACACAATAAAGTATGTAATTAATTAATATTTGGGCGGAAATAATGGTGGTATATTTAATTAATGGTATACTCTTTTATAAAGATTTAAATAGGTTTTTTTTGTATACAAATGGGCTAGTAATATTATCGTTTTTAGCACCTGTAAATTTTGTATATTTGTTTCTTTAAAAACCATCTAAAATGTCAATATTCCATGGGTATATTGATAAATGAGACCTAAATTATACGAAAATGTATTTTCTACGAAAACTTGAAGGAATAGGTAAAAAATGGTATAAAACAATTTGGTAGACAATAAAATTATGTATCGGATTCTCCTAAAATATACAGGGTGTAACATTTAAATTAAACAAGTTATTGCCGTTTATAGCTAGAAATTATTTAAAATAAATTTTTAGACACTATGTATGAGGTAGTACTATTTTTATTATTGCAACACAATAACTGATCAATAAATAAACTTCAGTAAATATTTAGTATTAAAAACTTTGATACCCTTGGAGAAATAAAGTCTTAACTTTTTTACACATTTTGGGACACTCTGTACCTTGTAAAAATATTTTTAAATTATAGCTCTAATAGTCCTTCAACGAACCCAAAACTTACAATTTGTAAAAATCTAATCGTTTAGCTACAATACTCCGTGTCGTATGTGGTGAACAACCCTCTATATTTTTTATTTATTTATTAATATCTCTGAAATTATCGAAATATATTTACTCATATCTTAGGATTATGTAAAGTGATCTGAAAAGTAGCGAAAAATACAATAACATACAGGGTGTTTCGTTTAAAAAAAATCATCCCGATCCACTCGCACTTTTTTGAGCCACCCTATAGAAATTAAAATATTTTCCTAAAATACATCCTCGTGCATACTTTAGGTATGCACTTACACCAAATTCTCAAGTTTTTTATTTTAGGAGCTACAGATGCCCGACGCGCTATTGCGGGACCTTGTATAATCCTATCCTATCTAACATATAATTAATAAAACCGTGTATAATCGAACCGCGTAAAAGAAGACACTGGTGTTAAAAACGCAAACTGCGTATAAATGCACTGCGTAAAACGAGGTACTCCTGTAATATTACAGGTAGACTACATTTTGATACGTATATATTATTAGTTATTAGCAAGTAAAAGCAAAACTACCATTATTGTAACTTTCAAATTTATGCGTAATCGTAAACACAATGTGCATTTTCAAAAAATAAACATCACACTGTCAACAAAGAGGAAAATATGCTAAAATTATTGCAACAACTAACGCATAACTAACTAACTTAACTAAAAACGGATCGTTTTACGTTTCTATGCAACCCAATCGTTGCAAGTCATTGCAACGTATTAACGCCAAATTACATGCAATTTTCAATGCATGCAACGAATTGAGGCAATAAATTGCCTCGTCAGAACTAGCTTCAGTCCATAATGTCGGGTTTTAATTCATATTAAAAATTAATAACTGACAACGTCATAATAGTAATAAATTATGAATGCTAGAGTTTGTTAATTTTATAGTCATTCTTTTGGTCATACTATAACACGAATATACAGGGTGGAATTGTATTCGGGAAACTTCGGCAGTATACAGATAAAAATAAGTAAAAAACTTTGTATAAATGTCTGTCCTAAAAGGCTTTGTTTCGGAGATACACGGTGTCGAAATTTCATTTTTATTTCGATTTTTTCCAAATAATTTCTGAACTAATATAGATATTTGGATGACAATTGGTGTTTGGGCGAAGAAAACTAAATATCTAATAAATAATATCATTTAGTGATTTTTATTTTTAAAAATTAGTTTTCTTTTATAATTTTAATGGATTATCTTTTAGATTTTGATTTACACTTTTTTTAGGAAATTCGAGTCTCAAGATATATTAGTACCATGGCGTAAACCAATCCATATTAGTACATCTTGCGATTTGACGTCGACAACAAACTCAGAAGACGATGGCCAGCATCCATATCACGCCTACACTCAGACCTCAGATAGTGATTCAAACAAATCATTTAGGTATGTATAATGAAAATATATTTTAGGGTTTTCAGAAATTATAGTCCGTTAGAAAGTATCCGGAAAAAAGAAAGCAAAATTACAATTATCGATATACAGGGTGGCCCATCGAAAACGTTCCGCAAGACATAACGGCCAGGATATTTTTTTTCAAAAAATCCAAAAACACGTCAATTTTGTTTGTGAGGGGAACAACTTTTGCCCCAAAAATGATTTCAAAATCTTCAACCCTCTAAGCGGGGGTGTCATCCCCCAACTTTTTTCAAATGGGAAGGGGGGTCAAGTGGCGCCGCAATAAAAGAGCTTTCTATTCTGTATATTTCCCCGCTTCGTTTTTGAGAATCGGTCGTGTCATTGGGAAAATATGAAGGATTGAAATTTGAAAAGTTTGTTTAAACATTTATCAGAGTAAATGATAAAAATAAATTCCTTTGACCAATTTGCTGTTTTTTCTTATTATTTCTAGATGTTTACGCATTTTTTCACTTGCCACATAGTTGAACGATCAGGTGCGGTTTCAATATCGTTAAACTGGCCCACAATAGAATTTCCAAAAATACCAGCCCGCGACGATCAAAATCGTCTTCGTTGAGTTCTTGTACGAACTGAATTTTGTACGGGTGGAACTTGTGTTTTTTTAATATCGTTTGGACACTTGTACGATTCACGCCGCACAGTGGGCAAAAATCCAGAAGTATGTTGCAAAAATTCTTTTTTTGTACGATTTTATTCAAATTTGGTAAAAACATTCTATGCCAGTAGTCCGTGAACCCTGTTAGTTTTGGCTGACTTGAGAGTGGTTGGGGGTGGTGGAGGGGATTCGCAAAATGGAAAAATCATCTTTTGACTAATACAGCTACCAAAATGCGGTAAGAATATTTTACATTTCACTAAATTTTACGATTTTTGGCAGAGCCAAGATGAAACAGACAAATATTGAGCAATTATTACTCCTCCGCCATAAACAGGATTTGTTTTATATATTGACATCCTCTGTATCTTTTTTATTCGACGTTTTCGAAAAAAGTGTCTTGAATAAAACTTTAATGGTCTAAAATACATTTTTCACAACAGTCTTCTTTGCATATACAGGGTGCCTTAGATATCCTGTGTGTGGCCCAACTTTCTTATTTCAAATTACTACCCAATTTTTTATTTGATTTTTATTTTCTCCTAAAAATCCTAACTACTTTTTTGTAGCATAGCCTATACCTAATTTGAAATAAGATAGTTGAACCACGGCCAGACTTTTTGAAGCACTTTGTATATGCGAAATAGACTTTTTTGGCAAATTTATTCAAAACCACTTTCATTTGAGACAGTTTTCGGAAACGTCAAATAAAAAAGATAAAGGGGGTGTCAATGTATAAAAGAAAACCTAGTCTCTAATAATACCATCTCTAATAATAGACACTATGTGAACAATATTTTATTATTATATTTTAAATAAGTAACAATATTCTGAGAATTAAACAATGACGATTTAGAAAATAACAGAACTTATACCTATTAAAAATATCTAAATTTTATTTTACCACCTACTATTTACTGATATTTTGTTTTATAACAGCTGGAAGCAATGAAGTGCACATTTTTAAATCTGAAAGGAAAATCCATTTCATTTAATTTAAAAAATTAGGTACTGTCAAAATTTGTCAATTTGTCAAAAAATGTCATTTGACATTTATGACATACCTCTTCGGAAATCTTGAGAAAAGTTACGTAACTTTATATTTCAAGTTCTTCTCTAGCTCTACCTACTATAACAATTAATTTATGAGAAGTATCCACATAAAGGATGTTACTATACACATACGCATGGAGGTTTACGCCTCCAATAAATTTAATGTTGCGATTTTTTTGACTTAACTTTTCTAAGATAGAATATATGCCACTATCAAACAAACCTTAAATGATTATGTTCTACTTTGACCTTTACCTAGTTTTTATCCAAAAAATCAAAATAACAGATACTTTTTTACTTACCTTCACATTAAATTTACTGCAACCGGGAATCTACGTAAAACACGTTATGACAATTTTACAATAATTATTGACAATAAGCTAAGGTCGTCCGATTCAATTGTTATAATACTGTATCACTTGAATGCAACGCCTACTATTTAAAAAATTGTAGAAAAAAGGCAGTTACTGGACACAAATTAACTGAAAATGTAGGTTTTGCGCAAAGTTCGTTTTACAGCACCTCGAAAGAGACTCCGAATATGTTTTTTTGTTAGTTTTATGTGGTTTCCTCTTAACTAATATGTTTCCACTCTAATGTTATTGCCATAAATGCTAACTGTGGATGTTATTTTTTGCAACTTAGTTTGGACATATTGCCTACTGTGCGCCGGTCGCGGTCTCATTGGCTAATTTTCTTGTACTCAGCGTACTACCCGTGGCAACTTGGCCCAATACGAATACCTCCATAGCTTCATTTACTACAGGATTTTCCCTCTGCCTCTTTTTATTCATAACGGAACCAGTTTCGCGAAATTTTGCTACTAACTCGCGAACAATTTTGCCATAAAGGTGTTTGTCAGGATGGCGTTCATTGAATATCTGCGCAAACCGATTGCCACATTATTTTTAAAATAAAGTTCGATTATATCCACTTTTTCTGCAAGTGAGTACACCATAATAATTGTTAAAAATTTAACGATATTTAGAAGAACTTCAACGCATAAGTCACAGAACAGCTATCTAGCAACTACCGCACCTGATCGTTCAACCTTGTGGCAAGTGAAAAAATGCGAAACATCTAGAAATAATAAGAAAAAACAGCAAATTGGTCGAAGGAATTTACCCTTATCATTTAGTCTGATAAATGTTTAAATAAACTTTTCAAATTTCAATCCTTCATATTTTCTCAATGACTCGACCGATTTTCAAAAACCAAACGGGGAAATATAGAGAATAGAAAGCTCTTTTCATTGCGGTGCCACTTAACCCCTTTTCCCATTTGAAAAAAGTTGGGGGATGACACCCCCGCTTAGAGGGTTGAAGATTTTGCGATCATTTTTGGGGCAAAAGTTGTCCCCCTCACAAACAAAATTGACGTGTTTTTGGATTTTCTGAAAAAAAAATTACCCTGGCCGTTATGCCTTGCGGAAGGTTTTCGATGGGCCACCCTGTATGTATATATTTTTAGGACTTAAATTAAAAAAAATATAACAAATTACTAATTTTATTTACTTATACAACCTCCATTTAACTCCAAACAGTTAACTAAACGTCCAAGTACACAATCAAAGAGCTAATCAAATCTTGTTTAGTTCGTGGAGCTGCTCGTTCCACTTCAATCTTCATTACTCCCCATACGTTTTCAATGGGACTAAGGTCTGGTGAAGCTGCTGGCTATGGAATTGTTGGCAAATGGTGTTTTTGCATTCAAGCTTGAGTATAGGCAGACGTATGGCATCTTGCATTATCCTGCTGAAAACGCCACCCCTCTGGATATTAAGTAAAGATTTCAGTTAACGTCTCCTTTTTGCTGTCAGGGCTAATCTGGACGCGGTCCTCGGCCATATCATGGTCAATGGCCTACCGACTTGGCAAGTATCTAAATCGACTCTTACTCACGTGATATCCGATCTCATCCGGCCTCGAATCGGCGTGAATGAGCAGTATGTGCCCTCTGGATATAAAACATGACTCATTTCAAGAAGAAAACCATTTAAAATATCACAATATTTTGCACTATTAACAGTTCCATAGAGATATTGCTTCCCAAACCATTATTTTAGTGGGAAACTTTGAAACTTGAACGGTAACATTTTCTTATTATAGTTATATAGATAGTATTTTTAGGTGGTTTCCACCAAACTGGAAACAACTTTCGTCAGAAATAAAAACATTATTAACATTATCTTCTTGAAAACGTTGACAAAAATCCATTCGCTGCCTTTGTATACGTGTTATTGCAGGGATTTGTTTTGGCTTCCTTGATATGTACCGTAAAATGGGGTGAACAGAAACAGTTTCGTAGGCTATTAGCGATATACCAGTTGATAAAAATGTGGTATTATGTTCCCGAATATTTTAAAACATGGGTCTTTGTTTGTTCTTTGCGTATACATATAATTTGATTTTTGAAAAATATGCATATAAATATTACATAAAAATAACTTTTGTGTTTCTATTCACCTGCTATTCGGGAGAATAGAAACACACATTGATGTTAAGGTTTTTATCTATTCTATTTCCAACAAGGTGATTAGAAACAGATAATTATTACATATTTAAGTAGGTTTAGCAATAATTAACAATACATATAATATAACAACTTACATGTACCAGCTTAAGTATTACTTTAAAAATAAATATTTTATTTATAAAGTTTTCGCGCCATACAAAATAGGTGATAAATCGATCTCACATTTATTGATCAGCTGATTGACAGAAACAGTGCTGCCACAGATAAAAATATAGTTTTTACATTTTATTGTGTATTACCAATGATAGAAAAATTAGATATGTCGACTCTTTTTACTTTGAATATTTTTAATCGTGATTTGATTTTTTTCAGAAATTTTATTTCTATTCACCCCTATGTTTCTATTCACCCCGTAGTTTTGTCTTTTCAGTGACATGCCGGACGGTTTCTGGACACAATTTTAATTTTCGCTGACTTCGAAATCTGTTAAGTTAGGTTAGGGAATTTGCGAAACCCTAAGCGCGGATTCTGTCGTCCTAATGCCACTAAAGCGTTTAAATTGATTTGGCGAATCTTACACGGTCTTCCTGAAACTGGTCCATGCTTCATATCTGTGCCATTTTTTATCCTCTTTATTGTCTCATATATACTGCACTTTTTCCGAGTTCAGTCAATTGCACTAATTTTTTAATGTTTCGAACACCTTTTCTATACAAATATTCCACCATTTCTCTTTTTTTACTGGTTTACAATCAACAATATTTGACAGATGGTGTTGCCATGCGATTTTGGTCATAGCCTACTATCGGCACAACCTACGTGATGGATTACTGTTGTCTTAGAGTGTTACAGAAAAAAAAATACATTAAAATTAGGAAAAATATAAAATTCCGGATACTTTCTAGACGGACTATATTTGTAGCTTGATAAAAGTATCTGCATCTTGTGAAGCTCCCAATCAACTAACTAGTATTAAAGTACAGTGCAACTTTAATTCAAAAATTTTAATAATCGTAATACCCCAATAGCAATGCTGTAGCGTTTTTTTTATAAAGCATTACCACTGCGAACGGCAGCTTTTTATCAGAGAGCAGTGGTGGATAAGGTATTTCACTAGAAAAAAAAACTAATCAATAACAATAAACAAAAAAATATAGATATTGGGCGCCAGGCATGTACAGAGAAAGAAAACACAGTTGTTTATTACTTAAAACTAGTGACTATATTCATTCATGATGTTCTTTGCTGGTACATGACATTGTAGAGTTTTAGTAAATATATATAAGTGGTTGTATGTCTAAGAAAGTGGTGTTAAGAATTGTACTAAATATCTATTAAAACAACTATGATAAAATACAAGACATGTAAAGTTAAAGAAAATATATGAAATGTAGCATTACTTTAATTAATTTGATATATTTTATATGATGTTAAATCGAAGATGTTGCAACCCGTAGATTCTAGAATCTATGTTTGGTTATTCATTTGTTAAAATAGTGCAATAATAATATCTATGAAAGTAATACTATTACAAGAAGTAATGTAATGAAACCTAAGACCTAAATCATATTTTAAATACTAAATTGACATGAATGTTCATAACAATCTAACCACTAAACATAGTCTGTACGATATTATTCAAGATGTATGTTATTGTTTAAGTCTGAAAATGTGTTAAATGTTGAATGTAAACTAAAACTTAAATCTAAACATAGCTGTTTGTTCTTAAAGCAATCCTGTTTCAAAGAGTGGCAGCGTGAGGTGGGCTCGCCTCTCTGTACTCGGCTATCAAATACAACAAAAGGGGCCAGAATGAGGACACCATGAATTAATACAGCCGTAACTACTGACTAGCTTATAGATGGGAACGAAGCAGCATGGGGCTCAAGCTACATCCACGCTGGGGCACTTTATATATAAGATAAATCATTCCTACTTGGGACACTCGTCCACAGGACATCCGTACATAGGGCATCCAACCATAGGATAATGTCGTAACTTGGACATCCGTCCATAAGATAACGGTACAAGGGAACACTACCAGTACCTTGGAACACTACTAGGACCTTGGATAATGCCCGTACCTTGGACCATAACCTTGGAAATAGTCTGTACCTTGGACCCTCGAATTACTTCCGAGGGCTCAATAATAAACAAAGAAACTGTCCTTTCTTCCATGTAACATTCTGGAGGACAAAAGAAAATTTGTGGAACGGAACGTGCCGGCAAACACCAAATACGAGTTTTGTTGAGCCAATCCAAAACTCTACCCTGTAGCTTCGAAATGGCAGCTGATTCAGATTTTGCAGCAAGATTTAAATTACCATTTCTAAAAGCAGGGGTACACCAGAGCGGCAGAACAAAGTGAGGTTAAGCACGGAGAGCGAAAAATTGGAGCGATGTTGACAGCGCCTCCACAGAACAGTGAAACGATGGCAGGGTTGCTGACTAGAGAACGTAAAAATTACGCTAAGCGCGTCAAATAAATTATCCGGCCTGAACGAGAGGGAAGGACATTATCACCCCCCGGTGATGATACGCCAGACATCATATATCATATACAAAGACATGTAACGAACTAAAAACGTTACAATGCTATGCTATTCTTTATTTAATTATTTAATTTCTGAGAAATTCAGCCCGTTTAGCTCATCTGACGATGGGGTATAGGCCCCAAAACCGGTAACGAGAGGGTGGTTGGTTTCCCCATAACGGCAAACAAACATAACTTTTTGTTATTTTCAGTTTGTTATTATTTTTGAAAGCTGAAGATTTACAAAACATCAGTTATATGACAAGAAATATTTTTATTTTAAATATTACATATTGATACTGCAAGAACCTTTTACTTTTTATTTATATTTCTGTATCTTGGTATACGACCCGATACAAGGATTACTCCAGAAAAACCTGTGATAAAAAAATCTCTAACACTACTATGTGTTTTAGTAAATAAATCGTATAATTCTTCGCTAAGTCTATTAATATCAAGATCATCTATGTTGTCCACCAAAGAAAAATAAAAATAATAGGAAATGGTAATCTTAAACTTACAAATTATGAACAGAAAAATATTACGCATGATTATATTTATTTGTGTAGTTAAACTAAATCCAGTTTTATCATTTTAGATTTAGGAACACGTTTCGAAAGAAAGGCCGCGGCAACCATCATCGCAAAGGTAGATCCATAGATCCAGGAAGGTGTTCGTCTCCCGGAAGCTCGTCGCTATCATCTCCGAATGAAACGTGTTACAGTTTTGTGAGGAGGGCCATACAAAAGTTGGCTGGTGGTAGTCGGAGAGTGGTGGGAAACAGACCTTGGTTCCTGGAAAGCTGGATAGCTTGTACGCATAAACAGCCTATTCAAAAAAGGTAAATAACTTTCCTTTATAGCCTGCCAGTTGCCTCTACGAAAACTATTTAGAGATATTCGTTTTGTTTTTTGATCTCTACAATTAGTGATTACATATTTACCTACTTTTAGATTTACCGGTAAACGGTAATTTAAAACATAAAATTACCGGTTTACCGATGATTATCGATTTTTCCTTATCAGAACCAGCCGAAAAAAGATAAAATATGAAAACAACCTTTTTCAATTTAAAGCAGCATTTTCAAATGTTTCCTCTAATTTCTACTTGCTGAAGATATAGCATTTCTGTTTTCAAGGTTTGGGCAGTAACCATAGATGTTATTTATTTTACAACGGGATAGGCTTTTTCTTTTTTTTTTCTTATTGAAAGACTTTCCTTAATCAACGACAGAGTTTCAGTCGATGTTGGAGGAACCTGAATATTAGTACAATTAATTATTATTATTTAATTATTTAGGTAGACATTTTTTACAATTCAACTTGTAATCTTTTCAGAGACTGAGTGAGAATTAACGAATTCATCATTATGAATAGCATTCGTTTTCGAATTTTCAGTTCAGATCTGTTGAACTAGTTATAGTTTTTTTTATTTAGTATATTTACGTAAAATTATAAAATCATCAATTTTTTTATATGGAGTGTTTCATAATTCGTTCAATTTTTTTTTAACGATTTAGTATTTTAAAATATGTAGATTTGGTAAATAATCAGAAATAATAAATTTGTTCCAAAGTCAAATTTGACCCAGAATCAAATGATAAAAAATCCTTTATGATGTAAATTTTATCTGTGTCTCTCTATTATAATTCTCATTTTAAAATATTTATTAAACACGTGTTTAGTGAATACACGATGTGCGTTACATATTTTATAGAAGAAATTGTAAAAAATAAAACCCTGTAAATAAATGTTTCATATACTTAAGCTGTTAAGATTTAGCGTTATTATTATCGTAAAGTTGCTAAGGTAAAATAACCCAGTGTAGATATCCAATAAATAGATGTAACTAATATTTACAAAAAAATGTCTATACCTATGTGGCGGATTCATCTCTACAAAAAAATCCTTTATGGGTATTTCGCCACTGCACTGCAAGAAAAATCTACAAAATAGCCTTAAACCTAAACGGACGCTGCTTGTCAGAAGTTATGTTTACAGTTATAAAAATTTGCCTAACAAAGAAAAAAATGCTTAACGTTTCGGAAAGTTTATCTCTTTCCGTCGTCGGAAGCAAAAAAAATACAAAGAATAAAGAAAAAAACTATTTAAAATATTTAAATTCAACTATTCGAGAACACTTTGCTTTTTAAAACAGATACGTCTACAAGAAACCGTTGACGTTCTGTTAAAATGACATTATATTAAGTTAAACTTCAAAATTAACAATTACTACCTGATAACAATTACTTAATAAGGTAAAACCAAAAAACCCAAACTTTCTGTATAATTATTTTTAAATTTTACGTATGTTATGTTTATTTATGTGATGTTCTTTAAAATCAAAGAAGCGATTGCCATACATTACTAACATCTACAGATGCATGAGCAATACATTTATTTTTATTAGATTGAATTAAAAAAGCTTCTTGTATTTTTCTTTTAGAGGCTATCGCTTCTTTCATTATAATTTTGGAAGGAATGTATGTATATTGTTTTATAAGCTAAATATTAGGCTTTCTCTATGGATACAACTGATTACCGATTATTATTATTTGATTATTTTTATAATATTTTTTTTTCAATTTAAATATTTTAAATAGTTCTTTTCTTTATTCTTTGTATTTTTTTTTGCTTCCGACGACGGAATGAGATAAACTTTCCGAAACGTTAAGCATCTTTTTCTTTGTTAAGCAAATTTTTATAACTGTAAACATAACTTCTGACAAGCAGCGTCCGTTTAGGTTTAACGCAGAAATGTTTACAAAAAATAACTATTTTATTTTGTAGATTTTTCTTGCAGTGCAGTGGCGAAATACCCATAAAGAATTTTTTTGGAGTAATAGTTACAAGTACCGAAACTAAGAATTCTTATATATTAAATTATAAACTAAATTATAACGGTGAGTTTTGAAAAATAAATCGTTTAATTCTTCGCTAAAGCTTCATTCAGAACCTCGCAATTAGTGGAATGAATTAGTGGTTTCAATTACACTTTATACATTTTAGTTTACGATCATTTACAATGTCTAAAAAACACAATTAAAATTAATAGAATATCCTGGCAACAGCTTGCGGTAATCAGTTGGATCCATAGAGAAAGCCTAATATTTAGCTTATAAAACAATAAACTTTTGATTTCTAACCACATTTTTCTCTCGACAGATGATAATCAAAGGCCAAAATGACATTCCTCGCAAATTTTGAAGTATAATTAGTGGAAAAGTTGAAAGTTTGTTAACTCTTTCTACTAATTGAAAATTCCTACCACTAATTTTGACGTTCTGAATGCTTACATTAAAATTAGAGAAACAAACTTCTACGCTAATTGAAACCACTAATTTATTCTACTAATTGCGAGGTTTTGAATGAAGCATAAGTTGATAGATATTAGGATCATCTATATCCACCAAAAAAAGAAAAATACTGGAAAATTATAATCATAAACTTACAAATTATGAACAAAAAAGATTTTATTGTTGTACGTCAATTTTTCTAATATATCAAATCACCTTTTTCAAACCCACCAAAATTAGTGTTTTTTTAATAAATTTAAATTGAGTATCAGCTATCATAATAGAGCCGGACTAATTTTAAATTAATTAATAGAAAATATAATTTAAATTAATTGAACAATTTAATTCCACAAGGCAGCTCGATGGTCTTTCTATTTAGATAAATAAATATTTATATTTAAATAAATAAAGCGACCGTACCGGTTGAGATTTTACTATCGCTCAGCGGTCAGATACACTAGCCGCTGAGCCACGAACGGCCACGTCAAGCAGTTTAAGTTATATTAACCGTTTTCAGGTACGATCCGGATGGCTGCGAATACTGCGAATGCTGCGGATACGACAACGTCGAAGACCAACCCATAGAATTATTAAGGCTAGACGACGAAGAACCCAAAGAACTGCCCCGAAGACAAACATTTCCCGCTTCCCAATTAATCGCCGACATTGATGCGCTCAAATCGAAAAGTATGAGTAACATCAATGCCATACAAGCAAATAATAATAACAATAAGTACGTATCTTCTTTCTTCCCCTAAATTTTTTTATTTCTTTTATTCCTGGATCATATACAGGGTGTTTCAAAAAACATGTGCCGTCTGTCGTGAGGAGATTCCTCTCGTAAAAATAATATTTATTTTTCATATCAACATAGGTCCGATTCTGCTTTGTTTCGTAGCTACAGGAGGTGAAATTCTTCATTTTTTCTCGATCTATTATAATTTTCTGTCAAGTGTTTTTAGCGATTTGAATGAAATTTGGAGGACAAAAGTGCGATATTAATGCTAAAAAAGTTTCGATATATTCACCCAGGAGTTATCACTGAAATATTTTTCCAAAAAAAAAATATTTGGGCCACTAACTTTCTTCTCTTGTTGCAAAATTGCATTGCAAAATGCTGAATAAAATTGTTTCTTGATATTTTTGTCAATTTCGGTATCCTTGATAAGAAAAACACAATTTAATTTGCATTAATCCAATTCTAAGAGCAACCTTTAAACTTTTTTGATGTCATTTCCCCCCATGTAGCAAAAATATTAAATAAGTACTTACTGATTTCTCGTAAAATATAAAAAAGTTCCTATAAAAATTGGTGCAGAAATGCATAGTTTTAAAGTTACAGGATGTTACAACTTTAAAAAAATAGTGTCACCAAGGCCTTTTGTAATTTTCTTAAATACCAATATTTTTTTAGTAAATTTGCTGTAGGTTGCATTGTACAACAGTGTTATAAATTTTAACTAAATTTAGTAAATAACATTAAATAACTAATTTATTAATTTTATTAATGTAATTAATAAATCTAATTTTTATTGTTGTCGATCCAATAATATATAATGTGTTTTTTTTTAATTGGATTAGGATCGAAAGAAATCAACAAAGTTGCTCTCTGTATACGGTCAACGTAAGTATATCTGCACTGCTTGTCTGTGAAAAGAAAAAGATTGTGAAATTTCTCTATACCTAATATCGATGTTATGTTTTTTTTTAAATGTAAGTGTGTTATGTGTTTTAAAAGAAAAAAAAAGGATATATACCACTCCCCTCTATACCATCCGTGTATTAATGGATTTGATTAAGAAAGTCCATATTTAAACTGTCCTGAAGATGCAAATAAATTTTGCGATACATCGACAAATTTAAAACAAAGGACTTCTGTTGATTTCTTTCGATCCTAATCCAATTAAAAAAACACATTGTAATTAATAAAATTGTATTTATTTCATCGAAGAGATCGAAATGGACAAAATATCATGATATAACTTTTAATCGGCATAAATGGCCTACACCATTTTTCTAATAAGGGGAAAAATGTAGTAACGCACAAGTTCTTTTTAGAAAAATATTCCAGTGATAACCCATATGCACGTCCCTGGTAAATCTTTTGAGACTTTTTTAGCATTAAAATATGTCTTATAATAACTTCTACCCTCCAAATTTCATTCGAATCGCTAAAAGCACTTGGAAGAAAATTATAACAAATCGAAAAAAAAATAAGACTAACTCATGTAGCTACGAAACAAGAGTATACACCCTGTATATTTACGTGGATAATAATATTACGATTGGATAAGTAGAAAAAAAAACTGTTGTAAACATATTCAACGACATACTGTTATCTTATTCCTTTGTTGCACCCACGGTATGGCTACTCTATCTATCCTTAGTCAGGAAATATCATTCACGCGCCAAATTTAAATATGAATTTTAAAAACTGATATTCAACTTAAATACAGAAACACCAAAATTAACTGCATTCTTTGCTTTTTGCTTTTTTATTTTTGCTATTAATATAAAGCTTGAAATTCACCAAAAAAAAATCTTAAAAAAACAAGCCACACACAGGTTGTAAGTGTGACAGTTCCCTGAAATTCAAAATCAGTTCAAAATCAGAATATAATCTATAGCAATTTACATAGATGTGTTTTTTCAAATAGAGTTAGAGAAAAGATAAAATGAAATTGTAAAAATTCGGTTATTCCAAAATATCTCTGAAAGTAATTGGATTTCTTTTAGTTTTCAAAACATGACGTTGTAGAGTTCAGTAAGAAGCAACTTTTGTCTAATTTAATCAACTTTGCATCTTTTCTGGTTTATGAGATCCCTGTATTGTGCACTTATTTTATGCAATACATGCAACACAAAATACAAAAACTGTTTATTGTTTTCAGATCTAAGCAAAGTCTGTTTCAATCATGCGACCAGAATGTGACAAGCCATACTGTAAAAAAATCGCCCGAAGTAACGAAAATAACCCTCACCAAACCGAAATTAGTGAAACAGAAAAAATCCGTGTGTGATGAAGATGCCGACGAGGCTTTGGATCAACCCACGGATATGAAAGAGGCGATCACAAAAATTCCCGTAATCAGAGACTCCCTAATCAGGTAAACAGTTTTGTATTATTTGTTCAATTGCCATAACATTGGTTACAGTTGCGTGTTCGAACCTTTGTTGTTACAACAGCAAAATAAAACACTAAAACTCTGGTTCACTTTTAATCATCTGCTGATGATGCTAACATGATTAGCGAAATGCAAAAAAAAACGTAAAGTGTTTTGGTGTATTGTGGTGAATTAGTGTTTTATTTTGCCAATAATATTGGTAATAGACGTTGATAGAGCATTTAAATAATCCTTTGCAACCATAGATTGTAGAGGGTGAGTCTTAGATAAGTGCAAATGTTTTTAGGGGTGGTATATTTTGATACTAGGAACAGGTCTAAGATTTCTGCAAACGTTCTGCAAATTCGGCTTTTCAAGTGGAGAAAGATACGTCAAAATATATTTCAATACCGTTTGATAGATAGTTATCCATATAAACATTTACTTTACCTTTAATAACCATTCTTTGTCACAAAACTTACAAACCAAAAAAAAAGCATCAAGGCGTCTCGAAAGGTAGTCTCAAAGCTATTACTTAACATCTATTATCGCCTGTTATTTGTCTGATTTCCCTCTTCCTAGTTTGCAAATCATATTTTAAAAATCAATAATTTTATTTATGCATACGGAGTGTCTTAAAAATGAAAGTTTTGAATTTAAAGAAACATGTTTATTTTTAAATGGGCGGTTCATCTTATCTAATATAAATATTAATTAAATTTAAATATAATTTAAAATTAATTAAACATTACAGGCAGAGAATAGGTACATTAAAGAAATGCTAACTTCATGTTAAAAAATGGAAACAGACGCCACCAGGTGTCGCCTGACAGTACTAGCTAAATTGAGGGGAATTGGAGGGGCGGGGCTTAAAAGAGGGGAAATTTTTAAAAAAATACTTTTATAAGTATCACTGACTTACTGTTTAAAGTTAATAAACATATTTTTTATTAGTTAAATATAATTTAATGTATTAAAAAATATGTCTATTAACTTTACACAGCAAATCAATGATATTATTAAAGACTTATTATTTTCAGAGAAAATTCATAGTAAATAAATTACACATTAGTAAACAATATCATTTATTTTTTAGAGCTGCGATTTATATTACAATAATATTGAAAGATATATATTTTTTTAACAATGAAAAAGAATATCCCGGAACCTGAAAAAGAAAGATGATCAATTAATGACTTAAATTAGTTCAAAATACATTTTGCAAATAACTAGTGAATTGGAAAGATAAACATACTATTAAAAAGACATTTTAGTAGTATGTTATCATCTATTTACTGATAATACATTACATAAGTATATAATAGGTAAATAACATGCATAAGGCACTATGATACAACTACCTGTATCATGATAACACACTAATATGACAAAAAATATATGCTAATTTAAATTCCTTTAATGATCTAATGAAACACTATCTAGCCTCAATGCATGCCATTCCAAAGACAAAAAAAACTGTTATACTAAATAAATATAAGCTGAATAAAACATAAACCAAGCCAACGTGCATAAACAACCAAAAAATGCATCAAAAAATACTTTTTTGTCATACGCTCCCAAAAACAGCTATTTTACGGACTCATTTCAGTCCGTAAAATGTTTTTTCGGCCTAGGCCGTAAAGGTCGTCATGGCAACCTTTATGGACTAAAATGTCTAAATTCGTTATTTGGTTGTTTTATTTTGTCATTCGAAATTTGTCACAAAATCACATAAAATTATACATATTTTTTATAATTAAATTATTAAATACTAACAATATCAAAAGCTAAGTTATTTGTTTGAGGTAAGTACCTAGGTACCTATTTAAAAAGCTTTTAAATTAAAATATTCTTAAATTACAGTCACAAACATTCAAACCATCGTCAATTTGGTCGAAATATTCCATGCTGAGAGCAGTGTTAAGTGTTAAAGAAGATATTTATATTGACAAATTTCCAAAACTTATTGCTTTTTTGAAGGAATTCGGTTGGTTACGAGCCTAAAAAGTCTAAGGTTTTGTCCATAAAAAGAGATCGGTGATTTTTGGCCACGGCTAGTGATGAAACTTATTTACTTACTAAGGTAAGTTTGCGATAATGATTTTTAAAATATATAGATGGTTTCTTATTCCATTGTATTTGATTTTTAAATTATTAAATACTAACAATATCAAAAGCTAAGTTATTTGGAAAAATAAAAATGAAATGAACAATTTTGTGCATTTTGAAAACTTGCATCTGCAATCGAAACGACTCCTCCATTGGCAGGTAAATTTACTTTCTGATGAGGTGGAGTAAATGCGAACGATGATGTACTTGGTAATACATCCGTGGAAGTGGTCGCGATTTTCTTTTCCCCCATTAGCAGTTTGCAAACTTTCTTCTTTTTCTCAATAGATTCTTCTATGTAACCTTCGGCCACTGTGGACGACCTAAATAATTATTGTTGTTTAGAACAAGATCGGAAAATATTAAAATTTTTACCTCCAACCTCCTAGGCGTTTCAGCGATGTAAAATCCACATCTGCATCTGCAGCAAGAGTAGCAGAACTACGTCGGAAACAATGACCTGTATATTCGTTTGGGTTCGACAACTTTAAAAATGCTGCTACAATCGATGGCATCTTCCCAAATGAATGAATGCCGACTCGTTGCACGGTGCATTTTCCTTTACGATAAGAGATGAAGACATAATCATGTGGTACATTTTTTGGCCTAAGACAAGCATATTTTCTATACAACTCAACTGGATTGACAACGTTCCCTTCGTTCACCACCGGAAACACTCTTTTGATATTAGTTTTTGTATCCGCAAGGGTAACTAAAAGGCAGCTGTTGTCTTTTTCTATGATGTCTTGCACTCGTAGAGAGTCAATTCTTCTCTTCTACATGCTCCACAAAGGCCAATGACAAGAGCTACCTAAAAATCAAATACAATGGAATAAGAAACCATCTATATATTTTAAAAATCATTATCGCAAACTTACCTTAGTAAGTAAATAAGTTTCATCACTAGCCGTGGCCAAAAAATCACCGATCTCTTTTATGGACAAAACCTTAGACTTTTTAGGCTCGTAACCAACCGAATTCCTCTTCAAAAAAGCAATAAGTTTTGGAAATTTGTCAATATAAATATCTTCTTTAACACTTAACACTGCTCTCAGCATGGAATATTTCGACCAAATTGACGATGGTTTGAATGTTTGTGACTGTAATTTAAGAATATTTTAATTTAAAAGCCTCTTTTAAATAGGTACCTAGGTACTTACTTTTCGTGGAAATAATTTAGCAATACATCTTCATTTACAACGAATACGCCATTTTTGTCTTTCCATTCATTAAAAACATCATATTCTTTCTGGTAAATGGCACGAGACTTCACAGGAAGTAAATCCAACACGATTTCTTTGGCCTTATTAGCAATATGTTCGGGATTTTGGAACATTTTAAAATTGTTGATGAATTTGTGTGATTTTGTGACAAATTTCGAATGACATGTCAAAATGCGATGAAATAAACAAACTCGTTACTAAGATATGAATTTATAAGCCAACTTTTTCAAACATTATAATTTCAAATATGGAAAATTTGCAAATATGCGTTCTAAAAAACTGTAAAAAGCGTATGACAAAAAATAGTGTATGTAACACGTACCTAAATTATGTTTTTTAGGACTCATCTACTATTTCGGACTCGGCTAACGCCTCGTCCGCAAACAGTAATGATTCGTCCTAAAAAACATCATTTTAGGTACTAGTTACATAAATAGCTATTATCAGATCATACCCTTGGATATATTATGTATTTTATATATCGCACATCCCGTTCAAAAGTTTACTAACTCAAAATAGAGAATATAGAGAACATTGTCAGGAGAAGTAAAAGAAAATTTAAGTTAAGGCAATATGCTCCTTTTTGCATATTAATGGCCAAATAATATAATGTTGATTTAATAAAATTTTACTGGCATCCTTCTGAAGTATAAATCAGATTAAAAGGACATTGTTTTTGTAATAATTGTTTGTTTTGTAAACATTTTTTGAAGACAATACAGTTTTGAACGGGCTGTGCGATATAAACAAGGATCTTACTATTATTTGAGGTTAGAAAGTATTTAAATAATATAAAACATAATCAAAATCACTTTTCATCATAAATTATAGAGGTACTTACGTGTTTTGATATTATTATCAGGAAATAATACGTTTAGTTAAACAGGTACGCTGCCAGGCAAGTTCTATCGGCGGGTCTTTGCAAGAGTTGAAATCTAAAAATACAAAAATACGTTTACATCTTAGTTGTATTTACGAATAAAGTATTTGTGTGTAATTCTGACTTACCAGTTAACTGAATAATCGCATTAAATACATCCAAATGGTAATTTAATATTGTAAAAAAGCAAAATTGTTTTAAATCACTTGCCAGGACAGCCCGGCCAGCTTCTTTGTTGACAAAATGGCCGCGGTATCATGATTTAAGCAATGTGAGTGACAAAGAAAGCCAATGCCTGGCAGATGTTGCTTACTTTGTCGTTGGTCCTGGCACGTTTAAATTTGACTGTTGCCTGTTTTCCCATACAAGTGACACCCCCGTGAATTACAGGCAATTAGATGCATATAATGCATGCGTCAAAATATTAATTTATTAAAATGTAAAAATAGTATGAACAACGATAATTATGGTCCAATTCCTTTCAGTTCTCTGTTCCTATTGCTCTAGTTTCGGTAATTAATTGTTAGGCTCGGTCAGTTTTGCCACGTCTCGTCTAGTCAGTGCTAACTGAGCACCTATACCAGGTGCGTCTCAAAAGTGGCTCACCTCTATAACTTTTTTATTTTTTCAGATAAAAAACATGATTTGGTATGTTAGTTTGGTATAAAAATTAGGATTGATTGACGTATTCCAATGTTTTTGGTCAGTTCCTGTTTCACTGGAAATGACTACAACTTTTGATTTTTATATGGCACCCCCGGTATATTTTTACTTTATTTGATAGAAAATGACACTCTGAATAGAATGACATATCATCATATATGTCATATATGGTTTATTAAAATTGTGTGGTACCAAATAATTCGTAAAAAATTGCTTTTTCCAAATATGCTAACGAGCCACCCTTGTGCCATTTGAAAAACTTGAGATATGATTAAAAATACGATTTGGGCATCTTTTAACCGACCAGAATAAGACAAGAAAAACATTAGACGTTGAAACCTATTTTTTCAAGGTTCCCTGACTGAAAATTATTGTTTTTAACATAACCATGGCACCCTAGATTGAAATTTAAAATACAATATTTTTTTAAGACAAAATATCAAAAGTTGACATATGATATGTCATTCTATTCAGAGTGCCATTTTCTATCGAATAAAGTAAAAATATACCGGGGGTGCCATTTAAAAACCAAAAGTTGTAGTAATTTCCGGTGAAACAGGAAGTGACCAAAAACAATTAAATACGTCAGTCAACCTTAATTTATGTGATATACTAACATACCAAATCTCGTTTTTTATCTGAAAAAATAAAAAAGTTATAGGGGTGAGCCACTTTTAACACGCACCCGGTATTAATGCTCAATTTGTTGATATTAGTTTAGTTTTAATTATCTGCTGATAATGCTAACATAGTTAGCGAAATGCGCGTCCAGGCAAAAAGTAAAATGTTCTGGTTGTAGTTATTAAATTAGCGTTAGTTGTATCACAGCCAGAGCCTAGACTGTATAAAATTAAACACGTTATTAATTATCTTTATTTCAGATACGAACGAGGAGGGGTCTTAAAACAGCGTTCCTTAAACGAAGAAATGTTGTCTACCGATAGATTGAGAGAGAAAGAAAGACTTAAACAAAACATACAAAAGCAAACTTCGTTGAACGAGGAGCTTATTTACAAACGGACTCACACTTTCGAGTCCCTGAAGGATTCCATCTTTTCGGTTGCCAGTTCGAAAAAGCTTCAGATGATCAAAATCGGCCTAACCAATAAAATCAGGAACTCTACCACGAATATGGAGAAAGTTACAAGCAGTTCGTTAAAAAATGGTAATTAAAGAGAAATATGTAAAATAATATACGATAAAAAAAACGGCTGGGGAATGACAAACGATGATAATTTTGGCAAAGTCAAGCCCTAGACCTCGTTAGTTGGCCCGTATTCTTCTTTATTTTTTAATGACTCTTACTGCCAATTGGCCTCAATAAGGTTGTTATTTATTTTTATACAGAGTTGCTTTTATGTATGGAAATGGTCGATTATTAGGTAAAATATAGGTACCGCAAAAAGTTAGCAAATAATAGATTTAAGTATACAGGGTTGTTCATAAAATCGCGGCACATCAAAGTTTCATTTTTTTAAATAGAACCCCCTGTATATTATTGCATATTTCGGTTCTGCCTTCAATTCTAAGCAAAAATCGAAATACACACAATGCACCTCAAAACAACCGTTTCCGAGTTATTGGCTTTTGAAAATGTCACTTAAACAATTCGATTTAATTAATTTCGATGTGTTTGGTTTGATTTACTGATGCCATTCTGCCGAAACTGTGATACTGTTGTAATGGGGTTTTAAATTCCTATTAGCTACTAGTAAATTTAAGACAGGTTCGGTCATAAAGTTGTGCCACATCAAACTTTATTTTTTTAATAAAATCTCCTGAATATTGTCACGACCTAGCTGGGGGTTGTTTGCTAGGGTCGCTATACCAGGTTCTCTCTCTCAATCAAAACAACCATTGGATAAAATATGCATTTATTTAATATAAGGTTTACAGTGTATAACAATTTTGGGGAATGCCAAGACATAACGGTTTACTTAAAGAAGTACTTACAGGAACATCTTCACTCTGCGCTGTCTTCTACTAACGGACTGATAACGCGAATTACTGACCGTAATAATGCGACTCACATCGACGGACTCCCTTCCGACTCTCTTCAGCATACATTTTTATATTTTCATCTAATTACATTTACCCGGCTATGACCATGAGGATATCGAACTTTGGTAGCCTGCGTTTGATTATCGACCCGAGATTGTTGTATTTTAATTGTTTAATTATCAATGTTATTTAAAAACATATCTGGGTCGATGTCATGCAGGTAACCGATCTCTTGGGCCTATATCAAATTGGTTTACTCGAATTATATTTACTAGAATTATATGATTTGTATTTTTTTCCCAATTTGATCTAAACCCAAGTTGACATCTATTTAAGTCTTGACAATATTATTGTACATTTCAATTGTTCCTTGAATTTTAAACAAAAATTGAAGAATTTTGTAATTTCCAGACTTGATATACTCTCATTTTATACATCTATAAATGCTAACTTGAGAACTAATGTCAAAAATATGATTAAGTATCACAGTTTTGGCAAAATGGCATCTTTAAATGAAACTGAACATATCGAAATTAATTGAATCAAATTGTTTAAGTGATATTTCCAAAAGTCAATAACTCGGAAACAGTTGGTATGAAGTACATTGTTTGTATTTCGATTTTTGCTTAGAATTGAAGGAAGAACCGAAAATGAAAATTTGATGTGCCACGACTTTATGACCGACCCTGTATACACTTAAATTTATTACCAGCTAATAGATATTTATAAACCCTATAACTTTTATATTTAATTTTTTGAAACCTATCCTATATTTTATATAATAATCGATCATTTCCATACATAAAAGCGACCCTGTATTTAGTAGAAATTATTTTTAAGTGGTGTAGTTGAAAACTAAAAAAAATGTTTTTTTGGAAATGGATTCGTGTGTCTGGAAACCTTCTATCCTTAATTAAACTTTCTGTAATGGCGGGTTCATACAGTCAAATAAAATAAAATAAGAATAAAATAAAATCAAGAACAATGAATACAACGAAGAATACAAGTGTAAACAGTATATATGATCTAGGGTGTAAACACTTTTATTGTTCTTGACAAAAAAAGGTTGTAAAGAAATTTTTTGACAAATTTGTTAAAACAGTTAGGTGGTCACATCATCTATTATACCGGGTGCGTCTCAAAAGTGGCTCACCCCTATAACTTTTTTATTTTTTCAGATGAAAAAACGAGATTTGGAATGTTAGTATATGACAAAAATTAGGATTGATTGATGTATTCAGTTGTTTTTGGTCACTTCCTGTTTCACCGAAAATGACTACAACTTTTGATTTTTAAATAGCACCCTCGGTATTTTTTTAGTTTATTCGATAGTCTTAATGCAAAAAAAAATAGTTTTAATGACATTCTGAATAGAATGACATATCATATGTCAATTTTTGAGATTTTCACTTAATAAAAAATTGTATTTTAAATTTCAATCTAGAGTACCATGTTAAAAACACTAATTCTGAATCAAGGAGCCTTGGAAATATTGACTTGATCGCCTAATGTTTTAGTGTCTTATTCTGGCCGGTTAGAATATGGCCAAATCGTATTTCTAATGATATTTCAGTTTTTTCAAAGAGAACGAGGGTGGCTCATTAGCATATTTGGAAAAAGAATTTTCTTACAAATAATTTGATACCACACACTTGGTAGTTCGAGTCAAATTTTCGTTACGAACCGCAAGTTATAATTTGAAATAAACCATATGCGAAAATCTCAAAAGTTGACATATGATATGTCATTCTATTCAGAATGTCATTTTCTATCAAATAAACTAAAAAAATACCAAGGGTGCCATTTAAAAATCAAATGTTGTAGTCATTTCCGGTGAAACACGAAGTGACCGAAAACAATTGAATACGTCAATCAATCCTAATTTATGTCATATACTAACATACCAAATCACGTTTTTTTTAACTGAAAAAATAGAAAAGTTATAGGGGTGAGCCACTTTTGAGACGCACCTGGTATATAGACACCATTTTGGATTTTACCTAAAACATTGCAGGCTTTGTCCGTATTTTCCAAAACTGGAAAGGAGCTGAATTGCTATCACCAACGGCATGCGACGAGTTAATAGAAAACGGAAGAAAATGCCAAAAAACACAAGTTGAGGAAAAAGAACAAAACGATTCTAATACCACTGAAAGGTAAGCGTACTGAATGTATTTTTTTGCATTTTTACTTATAAGTAGTTTCTTGGAACTAGTTCGTTCACGAACTACCAGTGGCGGTTCGTGGTCATTATTGTTGGGAGGTCAATATCTAAAAATATTGCGTCAGTTTTTTTAGGGCGCGCCCAAATTTAATTGGTTTCTTAATAAGGAACTTGTACGTTTAGTTACTAGAAAAAATAAATCTAAAAATAAATATAAATTCTGTTAAAACGAAACCTACCCTTACATTTTTACACAGGTGGTCTAGTGCCATTTCACTAAAAATCCAGTCAATGTTATTTACACAACTTTTCCACGGTAGGATTTAAAATACACATAAATGATAATGTCACAAAAATATAAATGCATATATACACATACACAATTCTAAAAGTTTTATTTCACATTTTTTTTATATTTTAAGTCAATGCGGCGTTCTTTCTCTAAACGTCTTTCGAAATTTAAGCAATTGTTTTCTTTTAACCGCACGATTTCACAAACTAAACACCATGTCTATTTTAAAATATCTATTCCAGAATCAGTCAATAATCAACCACAATTCATCATTTATCCATAACCAGAAAATTATGAATTTTTACCTACACACATTTCGCGCTACACCTCAAACTAGATGAAATTCCTTTCGATATTAAAAATGATTGCTTTATATCGACTAAACCAAACATTATGGTGCGTTTAGACTTGAGCACGCACGCACTGATCCTCCGCGAATGCTCAAGTGTAAACGGTTGTGCGCGCACGCTCACTCTGAATCTGTGTGTGCGCGGGTAGCCGCGAATCTGAGCCGTCTGGTGTCGGTTTTTGGTCCGTGCTCAAAAGAATTTTATGTGTGCGCGAACGCTCAGTTTGCACCGGCAATTTGTTTTGTCTGCGTTCGTGCGTGCGTGTGTGATTTTTTTTTTCGTTTTCTTTATTAAAATTATGGAGTGGATCAATGAATCTTCGTTATTATTAATTGAAGAATATGAAAAGTTGCTGATACTATGGGATGTTAAACATTCTTTGTATTATTTAAAAAGTAAAAAAAACGCATGGCAAGATCTTGTAAATAATATTTATATTGAATATGTCGATATTAATGAAATTATATATATAAATGCCAAAAAATTAATGAAATTATATATATAAATGCCAAATGTATAACCCACAAAATTCTGGATGTTGATGAATTTAAAAGTATGCTTTGGAATTAAATAAAACAAGTTCTTTTTTTAAAATACTACCTATATTCTAACTTATACTAATACAATTGGCTGGCTGTGACAGTCTTGACTATATAAGGTTAGATACAATATAACTGGGATACTTAAATTTTCATCTGCTTCGGTTGGTTCGTTGGTTGGGAGAAAGGCCTCACCCTCTTTGCTGCACTCGTCCGCTGGTGGGTAGCGTAACAGTTCGGCTAACGTTGGAGAGCTTGTGAGACTCCACCAGTCTCAGTGCGTGAGCTACTTATGGGGAGGATCAATTCTCGTATCTTCCTAGAAGATAATAAACAGCAGTATGCTATTCGAAATAATGTTTAAGTACCCAGTTATGTGGTAGTGTTCAACAGTACCAAGTCGACTGTCTGTTGTGGCCAATAAAATGTACAATGACAGTAAATTAAAATTTAGATCAAAGGTATAGTTATTTACATTAACAATATTTAAATTAAATCTAATTATTACTAATAAGAATAAAAATTAAATCTAGCTTTAAAATTAAAATTAAAATTGATCAATTTTAAAATACAAAAGCCGAAAGGCATCAAAAACAAATTGGTATTTAACCAATTAATTGTTAGTCTTCTCTAAAAGCCAACCAATAAAAAAATTATGAATAACAGACAAAATTCTACTATCAACTTAAAAATTTAATATTAATAATTAAATTTAATAAAATTTTAATTTAATTGAATAAATTTTAATATCTGGCTATAACCGTTTAAATCAAGTTAAGAATTAAATAGTTCGTCCAAATTATTTTAAAAATAGGTAAAGATAAAATGTATCTCTCTCTCTCTGTCTCTCTCTCTAAAAAATGTAAAATCAATTTAATAAAAAAATATCAAGACCACTACCACACTACAGGTACGATTCTATTAGATAAATTTTAAAAAACGTGGTTCCATCAGACAATTATTTATTGCTTTGCACATGCTAAAAAACAAAATCCGAAAAAAATGCAATACGAAGAGACGATGATTTAAATTATAAAAAAAAAAATTATTAATAAGAAATTAATCGACAGATAAGGCGAGAAAAAAAATTAGAAAAATCTTATCTGTCGTCTTTTGTTTGTAATTTTTAGTGTTATTAAATTTTGAAAATATTCAAAGTCGGGTCTGGTCATTCTTGTAAAGTTTTTGAACTGATCATAGCCCTTCTCAGACACGAAGTTGTTGCAGTAAATTATATCGATTTCTAAAAATTTGGGTTTGCCACCAGCGACGATGTTTTCGATTTTTCTCCTTTTTAATAATTAAGCTGTGCATAACAATGACTGCATCCTCGACTATTTCTTGGTCGTCCATTATTTTCGCCAATACACCTCTGCTGTGCGCGCACAAATGGATCACTTCATTCGTCGAAAAATAAGTTTTCAATTTGAACGGAGCCGAGAGCGCGAACGAATGCCGTGCGCGCACGCTCAGCTCGTGCGTGCTCAAGTCTAAACGCACCATTATACGCGATAAACGATACAAAAACCTAGGTTGTTTTATAATTTGAGTTTTTATAAACACCTAAACTGCCCAACGGCGAAATTTTTCCAACAACTGAAATCCTTTTATGAATGACGCGGTCAATGGCCAATATAAACTATATTGTTACGTTTTTCGTCGGTTCCGTGTGGATAGAAAGTCACAATTTATTTAAACACTATTCATTTAACACTAATTAACAAAAATAATAACGATAAAAGACTTATAGAACTATTTACAAACGATTTATAACTAAGAATTTATTTTGAATTTTCGCGCGTCAACTGCACTGGTATATTTATAACTGCCCTCTCTAGGCCACAGCCGCCGGCTTTTATACCTACAGCTAAAGATTTCTAGAATAGTCCATAGATCGTTAGATGCATAGAGAAGGTTTCGATTGTTCTCGTATGTACTACTCCATTCCAGTGGAACTCGATTTTTCTCGAACGTCCGAATGAATCATTACGGTGTCTATTCTTTAATGCGATGTGAAGGTCATCTGAAGGCGGAACATAAAGTTAGGTTAGGTCGACTCCACACGGGTCCGCAACACTGCCCCCTTCTTAGGTACATGCTCGTCCCGAGATGTACACGGTGAATGAAGGTATTTGCAAAGCTGGCCCATGGTACACTGAGAAGTCAGGTAGAAATAGCAGTCTACAGTTTTCTCTCCCGATCTCAGCTTTGGGTTGTAGCAGCAAACGAGGATCTCGATACCCGTAAATCTGAACAAGACTTCAATCATGTTCCGGATTGTACGCCAACTCAAATCATCGAGTCCGCACGCCAGTTTCGGAATGGCTAATCGTGTAATGTTGTTTAGCAAGGCTTCTCTCAGTTCAATCAGGGTCTTCCATAGATGAGACTCACTTGGGGGCCATTCCTTGGTGACTAGGTAGAAAATGTGCCTTGCTTGACCAAGTTCATTGTCGGTTAGCCTCAAGACGCTTCGAATCTCTGGATCCTGTCGGCGTAGTTCTCCGACTCGCCCAAACTTCTCATTGAACGTCGCAGCGATTCCTCTGGACATCCGCAAATCTCGGGCCACACAGTGAGCGAGCGAATAATCAGGAGCCACGAAAAAGAGGTCTCGTTGTTCTTCTTTGGTTACACCATAGCGAGCCTTCTGACTGCTGTTGTATCGGGCCATGAAATCGTCAAAGGACATCTCCGAATCAGGGGGATCAAAGCTGCAGGTTCTCACGGTCCCAGCACGATCTTCTATTTCGCCTTGATAGGGGCTCAAACGGTTGAAATGAATTACCCTCGGCTTTCCTTTTGGCAATTTTCTGATACGGTATACGACGTCATTAATCCTATCCATGACTTCGTATGGCCCTTCCCACGAGGATTGTAGCTTCGGAGATAACCCACGATGCTCAGCTTGAATGTCGTAGTGTTCCTTCATTCGGTCACTAGCGCTTTGAATATCTATGCGGACTCGCTGATGGATGTCGTCCATCCTTTGGCGTAGTCTATGGACATAATCTTCTCCGGCGACATCTTCTCCCGGTCGGCAACCAAGCTTCACATCACAAGGTAGGCGCACTTCCCGTCCCATAACGATGCTGGCTGGAGTTTGCCCTGTGGATTCTTGGACGGATGAACGACAGGCCAACAGGAACAGGTGAAGAAATTTGTCCCAGTCTCTTTGGTGGTCAGAGACTACTTTGGCCAAATAACGGTTGATGGTTCTGTTCATGCGTTCAACCATCCCATCGGATTGTGGATGCAGAACAGTCGTCCTGGTCTCGCGGATGTTAAGGACTTCACAGACGCCTTGGAACAGATTGGACTCAAAGTTTCTTCCCTGATCTGAATGCAGCTCCATGGGAACACCAAACCTGCTGATCCATTCCTTAACAAGAGCATCAGCAATGGTGGACGCTTCTTGATTTGGCAACGCGTAGGCCTCGACCCATTTGCTGAAGTAATCCATTACTACCACAATGTATTTGTTGCCAACGTTCGTCTCCGGGAAAGGACCTGCCACGTCGATTGCTATTCGTTCGAAAGGACTGCCTACATTGAACTGGCGCATTGGAGCTTTACCACGCTTTTGTGGTCCATTGATAGCAACGCAAACGTCGCATTTCTTACACCAGGCCCTCACGTCTTCTGTGCAGTTCACCCAATAGAACCGTTCACGCAGCTTGCCAAGGGTCTTGCTAACACCAAGATGCCCACCGCTGGTTCCATTGTGAACTTCCGCCAAGACTTCCGGGACCCTCTTCTTTGGAATGACGATCAGCATTCTCTCTTCTTGTCCCTCTGGTCTCTCAATCAC